AGGGAAAGGAGTAGGAAGCGGAGGCGGAGGGATGATGCTGATGATGATGCTGATGATGCTGAGGATGCTGATGCTGACGCTGATGCTGCTGATGCTGATGACGATAATGATGCTGAGTATGATGATGGTGGTAGTGACGATGATGATGATGATGATGATGATGATGATGATGATGATGATGATGATGATGGTGGTGGTGGTGGTGGTGGTGGTGAAGATTATGATGACGATGCGGATGAATCTGATGATGATGAGGATGAGGAGGAGGATGATGATGGCTTGAGAAAGATACCGGTTTGTTTATCGCGCGACCCCGATGACGCTGGCGAGAGTCTCCTCGGCCGTAGCACTGCTCAGCAACCAGAAGCCTGGAAACACTGCGCCGATGCCCCGGACTCTGGGGTCACGCCTGCCCGCACGATGGTCGGCCACCGTGTGGGGCCCAGGGAGAGCTGCGGGAGGCCGAGAGAGGGGAAAAACCTCAGGACATCTTTCCCTCAGGTCCCGTCTTGTTCGAGTAGGGGGTCGACTACAGAGTTGATTAATCCCAGAAGTGTTTTTCCGCCGACTCCATGTCAAAAATGCAGAATGTTCGTATGTCTACGGAACAGTATTGCCTGTAGATTCGACGTCACAATCAATTCTGTGGTCAATTAATCCTGTAGTCGATCCCCTACTCGACTTGTTCATGGTGATCCCCCCCCTTGCTGGCGGGCCCCCAAGCCCTCCCAAACTCTGTCCCCACTGCCATCCCCGATTCCGTCCTGGCCTACTTTTCGGGCGGCGTCCTACAATGCCGAAACAAAATATCCGCAACGACGACGACGTCGTCGTCGTCGTTGTGGTCGTCGTCGTCCTCCTCCTCCTCCTCCTCCTCGTCGTCGTTGTGGTCGTCGTGGTCGTCGTGGTCGTCGTCGTCGTCCACCTTTTCCTCCTGCTCCCCCCCCAGGAGAAGGAGGAGGAGGAGGGGGAGGAGGAGGAGGAGGATGAAAAGGAAAATGAGGAGGAGGAGGGGATTGGAGGAGGAGGAAGAGGAGGAGGAGGAGGAGGAGGATGAGGAGGAGGAAGAAGGAGGAGGAGGAGGAGGGGAGGAGGAGAGGAGGAGGAGGAGGAGGAGGGAGGAGGAGGAGGAGGAGGAGGAGGGGGTCCCTCATCCTCAGTTATGTGCGAAGTGGTGGCATGGGCTTGGGCGGCCCGTCTCGTGACGTGGGATCACGCCTGCCCTCGAGGGCGTGAGTGGCTTGACGCATCTCCTCGGGGCCAGCGGCTGACCTCTCCCCGAAGAATCGCCTCAGGAGGGGATGGGGAGGTGTTTGCCCCTCCCCATCCCGAACGGAAATGTTTGTAGCTAGCGAACCCACATCCTTGAACATTAGTGTGGTTTACATTCCGAGCATGCTTGCTTCTGCCAACCTGCAAAGCTAGACATCTCTGAACAGAGACTACACTTGATATTAACCAAGGGGGTCTCCAAAACACATGACATCTCACTCTCATTTTACTCTCTAGGAAACTCTGTGCCGGAAAAACGTAAAGAGGCTCGGCGGTGCCTAGAGCACGCTACATTGTTGTCGGAGGTCGTCAGCAATACACACCACAGTGAAGATGTGCACCGGTACACACCGCAGTGAAGCTGAACACCTGGTACACTCGGAGTGAAGACGATGTCCAACTTATCATGCATAAAATATTCGTTGTGCTGTCTGACGACATCATTTCTTGAGAACGAGACATCTGTAACATCAGGGCTCCCTATGACTTGCTGAAATACTGAGAATTCGCCGTGCTAGTCAGACCTCTGGATGCTCTCTAAGTCCGACTCAGAAAATGCACCCGGTCGATGTAGTAACTGCTTGCAGGTAATGTCTTTCTTGCTGCCATGAAACTCCGCAATGCCAGTCGCCAGCAGGTGCATCAACTGAAGAAATATACCAGGTTTCGTCAGCGCGTCACTGAACATCACGTCCGTCGGAATGCGCATAGTAAATCTCACTCGTCCGGTCATCCGTTCTTCTCTCCACGCCATGATCGCCAATCCTTGTTGTCGATCCTGAGGTACTCCTTTCAAGCCGGTCACCAGCTCGAACATGTCCCTGCAATCGGTCAGGTGATCAATGGGCAATACATACTGACCTGAGTTGCTCATCTCGATGAAAGCGGATATCATCTGCTTGGTCGTACACGTTAGGCAATATGCATTTCCGTCCATCTCATGGCCACCATCTGCGCGCCTGATACCACAGCAAGTCCACACTTTGTCTCGCCTATGGAGGTGGAATGCGCAACCTTCTTCGCCTTGCTTCTGATAGCCATCAACGCATGACACTTTCCAGAAAGCGCTGCAGCGTTACATAGAAGATTGTCGATGCTAACGTGCAGCTCCTCGTCCTCCGTCAGAAGCACAAGCTGGCCCTCTTGAGGGTAAGCCGAAGTTTTTTGCAGTATGATTTGCGTCGCCCACAGCTCGAAGACAGAACAGCGGCCTCAGGAAGGGAGAGTGCTATTCAACCAAGGCTGTGTCATTCTGAGCTCGTTTCAGTAGGGCATTTGCTCCCTCAAGATGCACGATCCTCGGCTCGTTGTTGAAGCCCTGCAGCTGCGTCGCCTCAGTCATGATGTGAATATTGCACTGACACAGGAGCAGCATCGATGCCAATATACTCCTGAATCCGTAAACATACACTCCCGTCGCCATCTTGTCGTCGACTCGATCCTGCTCAAGTGGTCAGTCTGCTGCAAAAGTATCGTGCCGTCCTTCAATCTTGAGTATTGTGCACCATTGTGAGTGAATGGAAGTTGTTGCCTTTTAGCCGCCCCCAACTTGGCTTCCAACGGTCCGATCAGATGCTCCAAGTGCTTCGAGCGACCTGCCGACATAAGGTCGTCGACATGAACAGACAAAAGCTGCAGCCGCATTCTCAATGGAGCGTGCCTCTTGAGCCCGATGTCGGATCTTGTCCGGCAGGTCGGCATGCGTCCAGCGGGCAAAGTTCTCGCCCCAAAAGCTGACTCTGGCGCGGAGAGCGTCCACCATCTACAATGTCAGGGCTCCCTGCAACAGGCGAGGTGCATCAACCAATCCGTGCATGGGCTTGAGCAGCTCCCAGACAAACAGGTCGATGTCCCATTCCTCCACGCGGATCTCGCTGCCGGGCAGAAGAATGTCCAGCAGGCGCCAAAAGTTGGCCAGAGGAGCCAGGAATGCTTTCGGCACCGTCTCGCAGTTGATCTTCAATTCTTTCGAGCGACGCCTGATCTCTTCGAAGCTCAGTCCCTGCAAGAACGCCGTGCTGATTCCCCGGCTCTCGAGTTCGAAGCCCTCGTGAACCTGGGCGGTCGAAACTATGATCTTCTGACTCAGCCTGCTGGCCGTGCTCGAGTGGCGCTGGATCTCGTGCTTCTGCTTGTCCAGGAACCCGCGCCCGCGCAGCCTGCTCTTAACGATCCACTCTTTCAGCTTGGCGTCGTACTTCCACTTCCTGACCCGCGCCGCGTCGATGAGATTGCTGCCGCCCATCGAGCGTTTCGCCTGGCGCGCGAAGACCTTGTGGCCAGCGGAGGCCGACAGCTCCTTGAGATCGGCCTCCTCAACCTTCTTCCGGTGGGTCAGCACGTCCTCCTCGTTCAGATTGTCGGTCTCCTTGGCGCCGACGTGGCTCTGCACTTCGCCTGTGCGCAAACAGAACAAGAAGCAGCAGCTCTGCTTCCACGGCCCCGCGATCGTCCACAAGGCTTGAGAGGAGCTCCAAGGAAACTCGCCATTCTGGATGCTCGTCAGGTAGGAGAGCGACGCAGCATGATCTTCGGGATCTTCGAGGATGTGTGAGATACCATCCATCATCCATGTACGACTCCTTCAGCTTATTGATCATATCCTCTTCGCCGCTGCGCCTGTTTATCACGCTGCTGAGGGTGTTGTAGCGAGCGAAGAGGTCATCGTCCTGCACTGGAAGAGTGTCTCCCGCATCGTCTCGTTCTCGTAAATATCCGTCGTCGTGTTCTGCGGTGAAGCTCGCGCCGCCTGCTCAGGCAAGCCGCGGTCATGAAGCGGAAGGAGATTTTCCGCTACTTTAGGAGTCTGCTCGGTGACTGCCTGCTGATCTGCCAGTGGTGTCGGCCCATAATGCTCCATGTCATCCGTCTGTTGCCGAAGATGTCTGGGTAATGCTCGTCGTGCTGGTCTCTGCCATGTCATTGTGAGGTCGCTCGTCATGAGCGGTCCTGCCGTCCACAGCTGCACCTCCTGTTCGATCGGCCTGTGCGTCCGAATCTCGCTGAAGTAGGTCGCTCAGGTCTCTGGCCAGGCCCGCTGCATCTGGCTGTGCTGCTGGCTCTGCTTGCAGTGGTGCCTTGTCCATTTTCACCGCAGTCTGTTCGTTGTGTCTTGACCTCGAACGCTCCCGTGAGTCCTGCAATCATTGGTTGTCGTCATCAGCTTCAGGATGTGGTGGCACCTGTACTGCTGGCTCTGCCTGCAATGGCGCGGCGCCCATCTGCGCTGAGGCTGGGTCTGACTGTGGTCGAGCAACAGCAGCTCGCGCGTCCCAGTCGCGCTGAAGTAGATCGCTCAGCTCACCTGACAAAGTCCATGTCGTTGGCCTCTGGAGCCGTCGATGGTGCCGGTCGCGCTGAAGCAGCTGGTGCTCGTGGAGGTGCTGGCTGAACTTGGCCGTCTTGTTCAATTGTCCTGTCGAGTTCGTCCAGAGTAGCATCTCGACCCGAACTCAAATCATGATCATATTCGTCTGGTACAGGAAGTCTGCGTGTATCCTCATTTCCTGCCACTGGGGCCCTTGCCTCGCCATGGTCCAAGACAGGTGCCTCGGCTGGAACATCGCGGTCGTCAGCATGACGCGGTGGTGATCGCGGTGGTGACTCCCAAGGTGGAGGAAGAGGCGACACCGCAAGGGCCCCATCCGTCTGATCCAATCGGCTCCTCTCGGCAGGAAGGCCGACAGATGCTGCGTCCATCCAGTCGTTCAGGTCAGGTATCGGGCTGATCATGTCCGCCACGTCGCGGTCCACTCTCTGATGCTGTCAGGCTCTGCTTCGATGCGGGGAGGATCCTCCAGGTCTGGCACTCGATGCCCATCGCAGAAAGGGTCCGAAAAAGAAGGCATCGAGTGGCACATCAGGAATGACGTGTTCTCCCACTTAGGAGCAGCCAGACTGTTGATGACCGCTCCTTTGCTCGGATCCACCTCGATGGTGAAGTAGTTGGCGTGGTCTTTCCTTTCCCACGGTGCCAGCAGACCGATATTGACGCCACATAGCGACGGAATCCGTTGCAGTGACGCGCCACATAGGATGCCATCAATACCTTTCAGTTGGAAGACGGTCTTGTACGTTCTCATGCTCAAATTCCAAGACTGAATGTTCATTGAGGTCTTGGCGTATGGTATGCGCTTCATCTTTCCGTCCGAGCCAATCGTTTTTCCAAGCCGCGCCACATGGCCGTAAACGTTGCCGTCCACGATGTCCCTCGGCCTCCTGAAGGTGTCTAGGTTCTGGTCGACCTCGAAGATAGAAGCTCAAGGTTGGAAGGCCAAACGTCCGACCAACTGCTTGCGTATATGTCGAACGGGAAGGATACATGGAACACCATTCCATGCGACAGTAGCCGTGCCCTCTGAGATCTTCACCAACTCCGCCGCGCCACGCCAGCCCGACTGGTCCTTGCGCTCTGAAGCCCCGTAGATGTCCACGCTGTCACCTACCTTGAGTTGATGTTGAGGGTCGTGCTGTTGCACTCGTGTCCTGTTAGCTCGTGCGATTCTGTCCTCGACGATCGCGCGTGCCATCTCCGACTTCGCAAGGGGGCGAAGTCTGACCGCTGCAGCGAAGGGGTCTGGGCAACTGACGTCTGCGCCATGCGCGGAGTCCAGGGTAGTGGCCTCCAGGTCGTAGTGGTCATTCGGCGTGAAGCCCAGGACCACCTGAGACGCAGTCTGGCCACCGTAGCTGACCATGCTATTCGAGACCATGGCGGCCTCCTGCACGAACTCAACATCGGATATCTCCAAGCCCTGCATGGCACGTGTCCAATTGAGCTTCATGGCAATCGTACCAGTTGAATCCATGTCTCCATGAGGCATGCCATAGTGATCGTCGGTGCCGGCATACCGCCTCTGGATGTTCATTTTGTCGCACGTCCTCGAACTTAGTTCTAACACGAGTCCACCTTCTTGATCCAGGACCATTGCCTGCATCGGCCCGAAGTACCGGATCCAACATCTCAGGATGGTAGTCAAGAGCTCTTCCGGAGTCCGATCTGCAATAACATCTGCCACCTGATATCGAGAGAGTTCGTTGATGACGAGAAGCCGCGCTTTGTCCCGCATGAAGATGATATCCAGGTGTAGCCGATGATTGAATCGAAGTGGAACAGTGATTCCTGCCCGTGGTTTTGTCTGTGGACGAGCGTGGTCTCTGCAAACCGTGCAAGCTAAACTCGCCAGAGTGATGACTCCTGCCGAAGTCTTAGTCCAGCAGTCTGCGCTCTTGAGAAACACAATCATGTCCGGCGCAGGCGCGTGCCAGAATCTGATCTGGAAACCCAGCAGCAAACGCGTGATCTCCTTTCGATCGGTGGCCTCTTTGAGTCGGGAAACCATCTTGCTCAGGTAGAAGTTCGGCTTCACCTCGTACCACTTCATCATTGCAATCTCTGGCTCAGGTGGAGCCATCTTCCTCATAATCCTTTTCGCTGGTCGCTTATCCATCGGCTCTGGAGGTGGTGGTACTTCAACCCCAGGAGCACCCGGAACTTGCTCAGGTGCTGAAGGTGGAGCCGGATCAAGCGGCCTGACGCCCGCCTCATCTTCATCCCTGGGCTCCTCCTGGATCTCTTGCTCGGCCTGAGGTTCTTCATCCGCTGGTGGTGCTGCTGGCTCTGGTGGTTCGTCGTCCGCAGGTGCTGCTGTTGCTGGCTTTGGTGGTTCGTCATCCGCTGGTGCTGCTGCTGCTGGTTCTGGTGGTTCGTCCACTGAATATCCAGGTGCTTTCGGCTTCGCAAGTTGCTTCGGTGCAGCTCTCCGCGCAGGAGGTCGTGCAGGTGCCAGCTTGCAATTCCCTGGTTTGCGCGCGTGCTCTGCCTCAGTCTCACTGCCCGGTCGACATCTTTCGCAGCCCTCGAATGTCTGCAGTCTAGCGATCTTGACGATGTTTTCGCGAGTGCGTCGCAGAACAACTTGGGATGGACTGCTGCCTTGGCCGTGCGATTGATGCCGTCGAGCGCGCTGGTGAGATGACCGTGCGCAACTTTGCATCTGCGATGTCTCGCGCTGGCCCGAAGAACAAATGTCGCATCCAGTCGTGTCCGTTTCCCCACTGGCTCGCAGAGATCGTTGGTGGCACCATAAGAACATTGATCGGCGGTAAACGTCCGCATGATGTCCAGGTCGGCGATGCTCGCGTAGTCTGACTTGGTCCAAGGATCGCTGTTATGCGGAGTCTCAGTCAGATTGTGCTGCTCGGTGTCCAGTGTCTACCGAATGCCCTCATGCATGAAGATGATCGCTGGTGCCTGACGTCTTCTGTCCGCTTCCAGTGCCGCAGGAGTCTTATGCCGGCTGGCGATAGACCGCAGCGTGCAAGTTGGCGACCACAGCGTCGCACCGATGAAGCATCTTTCGCGCCAGTGCGCCAACAACTTCTGATGGTGAGTCTCTGCCATGTCCCAGCCGCATTGATAGTCCACTGGGAAGCCCACGATGAGTCTCTTCATAACCGCGCGGCGGCTGAACCTACTGCTGCCCGACATGCGCTCCTGCGCGTCGACGTGGTAAATGCCCATGTGGTTCATCCAGTCCTTGAGGCTCTCAGGCGTCGCCGCGGGCAGCTGGGTTTCGAAGTGGAACTCCTGTGGCATCGCGCGGCAGCTGGTATCGTTGGTTTTCTTGGTGTTCGCGTCCAGCGTCTTGGCCCACAGGTTAGTGCCAATCCATCTTGGCGCCTTCCACTGGCGCCACCTTCTATAATAATCCTTGTTGTCCAGGTAGGGCATGTCCGTGTCGCTCTTGTTGTTGTAGGCTGTCTCCTTTCTCACTCTCAATTTTGCTCTCTGAGGTCTGCGCTTCCTCGTCGCGATGCAATTCTGCTGTCTTCGCGCCAGCGCCTGGCTGAGACGTCGTCTCTATCTTCCCGCTTGGTGCGTAGCCCTGCGAGTCAGGAGCGTAGGCCCGTTGCGGTGCCGTCTCCACCTTCCCGCTGGGCTTTGCACTGCGCGAGTCAAGTGCGCAGATGCTCTTTGCCGGTGCTGGTGCATCACGTTCGCTGACCACTTGCCATCAGAGCGGTCTCCTGAGTGAGCGTCGTGCTTTTGGGCGTGTCCTCGTCGAGTACCTTCTCGAAGTGAGCTTTTACCGCCTGCCGAAGCCGAACTCGCTCTGCGCCGGTGCCGGCGTTGGGATCATCCATGGGAAAGAGGTAGTGGCCCGAGTCAATGTATAGCGCCCTCATATATGTCTTAGGTCGAGCTTCGTTTCCAAGTCCATCGAGAGTGTTGATGATCAGAACGCCGTCTCTGTTCGGAAGGATGCCCGCGAGAAGAAACATCGTGTTGTTGATCATGGTATCCAGCGGCATGAGCAATGGGCGCCGACTGCCACTTCCTCCGAGCATGTCCATCGTAAAGCTTGGGTTTGGAAGCGCAGTCAGATCGAGACGTATCTGGCCCAGGCCGAGAGAAGGACTCGCCGCTCCTCGCCGATGATGATTTGACCTCCAAGCTGTGGCCGCGAGGCCAGAGAAGTGCCTGGCAGATTTCTCGCACAGTGTCGGTTCCTCCCAGGCAGCTCCTGGATCGATGATGATGCCCAATCGCCTGTCGCCGCGCACGGTGTGATATGCCATCGTGCTGCCATCCATTGGATCATCATCCTCATGACAGCTGTGCTGGATCAGCAACGCTGCGTGCATGATATCTGCAAATGAGCCTTTCGACGGTGATCCAGTCGGTACATTCGTCGATGTCGGCGGTGGAGTGGATGAACGTCCCATGAGATCTTCATCATCATCATTTGCTGCAGGCTTGCTTGCTCGTTGTGGAAAATCAAAAAGGAATCTCGATATCGCAGGTGCCGGAGATGCCCTCGGGTCGCCGGCATTGCCTTGTCCAGCTGGTGATTCAGGCCATTCAGCATGACGTCGAACAGGTGTCTCGGCGATCGGGTCTAGGAGCGATACCTTCGGCCTCAGTTCTGCTTTGCCACTTTTGCCTCCTCTGCCATTGTTGCCACCTTTCTGATATCGTCTGTAGGGATAATCATAGTACTCGTCATCCTCGTGATCCTGGTAGCGCTTGGAGATCTCTATCAGCTGCTTGTTCTCCGAAAGGCGGTCTTGCATATTCGCCATGCATGCCGTTATCATCCTTGTCAATGCGATACTCAGGGCAGTCGTAATGGACAGAGGGTTCGTCAGCAATGACCGTGGGGAACGGTGAAGGCGACGTGTCCCGCGAATCTCTGCTCGATGACACTGAAGGTGCCGACAGCGACCGCTTCGAGGGTAAATCCTCGTACGCATGAAGATTGATTCGCGAGTCGTTGACGCCAGTGTTGACTGGGTGAAATGAGGTGGTTGAGAAACCATGTCCAATTGAGAAGCCATGTCCTGTCTTCTCCTGAAGTGCTTGAGTCTGATTCCTGTCGCCGGGCGATCCTGGCTCTTTTGCCGCTCGGATCCGCAAGTGCCCCTGGAACCCCCCGGGCGAGAAAAATGCCCGGCAAGGTCCCGGGAGAAGCCGCCAGAGCACTCCAGGAAGGGCCATTTTTCGACACCCCTCACGAGGATCGTGGCCTCCGAGGGGGGAGCCGCAATCGACTGCCCCCCCTCCCGCCCCAAGAGGCCCGCAAGAACCCCCCATGTGGCCTGGGGGCCCCCAAGACGCCGCCAAGGAGCCCCAAGAGACTCCCAAGAGGTCCCCAAGAGGCCCCCAAGAGGCCCTGGGTTCCAGGGCCGGCGGCATGAGCGAAACGATTAAATAACATATGCGTCAAACCGACATTGCTGATGGTGAGGCCCGCCTTATCACTCGTTTCCTGATATCACTGTCCGAAATTGAGCAAGATCTCCTGCAATGATTGATTGCCACGCCTCGTGTCCAGAAACTTATCAAGATGCTCTCCTTGCTCGTCCTGGTCGTGAATGTCAAGAACTTCCGTCAACTTCTGCATGAGATGTCCAGCTCCGCTGATGCTGGCCTCTTGTGTAACCATGCCGTGTGCATATCGCTCTTCTTCTTGTCGTGGCAGGGCCAGCGCAACATCTCCTCTTATCGCAACTCCATTCCGGGTAACCTCTGCATTCGTCGGGATGGTACACCAGACTCACTTCTATAGCGCTCACTTTTATAGTGCTCACTTTGAAATTGTGGTCCGGAAGGGGCCGCACATGCAGGCACATGCCGCACAGTCGCATGCACATGCCCATGCAAATATACAACAACCTCAACAGCATTGCCGCACATGCGCGCACATGCCACACCGTCCGACGCACAGTCGAATGCACGGTCAAGCAAAACTCTGAAAGCATAGGTGCACATGCCCGCACATGCCGCAGAGATGTCGCAGGCGATAGTGGCCTGACCACCTGAGCTCGGGGCATTTCGCAACCCAGAATTGCGAGGATGTCTCAGGCAAGCGTGGCCGGACCACCATGGTGCAGGGCATCTTGGAAACCAGAGTGGCGAGGATGTCGCTGGTCAAGGTGACCTTACCACCATGGGGCAGGACACCTCCGAGGTCTGGGTTGCGAGGATGTCTCAGGCGAAAGTGGCCTGACCACCATGGGGCAAGAGATCTCTGAGGTCAGAGTTGCGAGGATGTCTCTGGCGAGAGTGGTCTGACCACCTCAGCCCAGGGCGTCTCGGAACCCACAGTTGCGAGGATGTCTCAGGCAGGAGTGGCCAGACCACCTGCTCAGGGCATCTCGGAACCCAGAGTTGCGAGGGTCTCAAGCGAAAAAGGCCGTGACACTATGGAGCAGGGCATCATTGAGGTCAGAGTTGCGAGGATGTCTCAGGCGAAAGTGGCCTGAACACCTCAACTCAGGGCATCTCGGGCGAAGATGTCTAGCGCGCGGGCGCGAACGCGCCGGCGCCTGGAGACGAACGCCGGCCCCGGTATTCTTGCACGTCCCGCACATGCCCCGCACAGGTACGCACAGTATTCGCACAGGCCGCGCTCGCCAGTGGCCGTGCCAGGCCAGCGATTCCGAGATTCCCTGAGGTCGGGCCGTCAAGCCACTTTCGCCTGAAACATCCTCGCAACTCTCACCTCCTCCTCCTCCTCCTCCTCCTCCGCCTCCTCCTCCTCCTCCTCCTCTGGCCAAGCCGAACAGGCGGGCGGGCCGGCCGAGCCGGGGGCGTCCGCCTCCTCCGTCCCCCCCTCCTCCCCCCCCCCTCCACCTCCCCCCTCCCGCCCCTGCTTCTGCGGCCGAGCTGAGAAGGCGCGCGGGAGTGTTTTACTAGGAGGGCACGCCACCGTCAGCTCACGAACTGGACGAAGAACCGCCCCCGCCAGCAGCGGGCGAGTCTAAACGCACAACAAACTCTTTCAGGAAGCCCAGGTTAGCTCTGCGAAGGCCAGGAGGCATTGGAGGCACAGGGGTCTCAGACAACTCCTAGGGCATGAGCGTGCATGTGCATTGGGATGTGCACCCATGTGCGCCCGCGCGCTTCACCGCAT